ATAGATGAGCAATTGTTCCGGAAAAATGTGTTGCATACCTGCTTAGGCACAGCTTGGCAGCCTTCGATCCCCTGCATGCTGGCCCCGCCCCCAGGGTGCACTAAGATGGTGACTGAGACTGGGAGTGGCGGCTCATGCCTGTAAGCCCAACACTTTGGAGGCTGAAAACAGGAGAATCACTACGAGTCTGATCTATGTAGTGAGACCCTGGAGACCCTGTCCTAAACACAGGAAACAAAAATGTGCTGCAAGCTGCATGTGTGTGTGTGTGTGGGGGGATGCCTGCTATTCTAGCACTCAGGAAGCCGAGGCAGGAGGATTGCTGCAAGTTCAAGGTCAGCCTGAGCTCCACAGTGACTTTAAGCTTGGCCTGAACTGCATTAGTGAGACTTTTGTGGCAAGAATAATAATAGTAATGATGCTTCAAAGCCCCTTTCTCTGTCAGTCTGCAATGTCAGGTGGATAATGAATGAACGTGTGGGTGGTATAGGAGAAAACAAACCATCTTCCCTCTCGACACACTCAATGTCAAAAGAAGAAAATGAAAATCATCTATATTCCTTTACTGACAGATAATCTATTTTTTGCATGTGTATAGGTACGTGTGTATGTATAATCATATAGATATAGGGAGGGGAGAGTGAAATCTACTTTATTATTTTTTAGATGCACTTTAAAACAGTTAGGTAGGGCTGGTGAGATGGCTCAGTGGTCTAAAGCACCTACTTAGAACAAGCTTAGCAAAGCACGGGACCGGGGTTCAATCCCCCAGCACCACATGCCAGCCAGCCCCGCCCCCTGGTGGGCTGAGTTGGACACACACACAAATAAAATAAAAAAAAAATTAAAAATAAATTAAAAATAAAACAGTTAGGTAGGGCCGGGGACATGGCTCAGTAGAATAAGCACTTGCCTGGCAAGCTCAAGGGCCTGAGTTCAATCCCTGTTGCTTTTTATAATGAAACAGGGTCTTGCCAAGTCACCTGTTACCAAAGTGGGCTTGAACTTACCATCTTCCTGACTTAGCCTTCTGGAGTGCTGGTAGGCATGGGCTACCATACCTGGCTTAAAACACTTTTAGAATATTATATGGCGCTCTCGCTCTCGCTCTCGCTCTCTCTCTCTCTCCCCTTGTGCTCTCTCTCTCTCTCTCTCTCTCTCTCTCTCTCTCTCTCTCTCTCTCTCCCTCCTTTCCTCCTCCAACCCCATCCAAGCTGCATAATGAGACTCTGTACCAAATACATATATATGTCAGGGATTGAACTCTGGACCTTGTGCTTGCCAGGCAGGAGCTTAAGTCACTGAGCTATATTCCCAGCTCCTCCAAATATATATATCTCCTCACAGCGATCCAAGTGCTGGAGCGCTGGGGGTGCCAGGGCCGAGCTACTATACCCAGCTCCTTCCAGCTGTACGTACTCAGCACACTGTGGCTGCTACACAGACAGGCAGAGTCAGCACCCTCTGAGCTCCAGGATGGGCAAGAAGAGGGTGTGCAGCTGGGATTCTGCTACCCACCCGGCTTCCTCTCAGAGCCCACTCTCCCAGTGGGGGTCCCCATGTGCCAGCCCACCCCATTCTGCACTGAACCCCTTCTTCAGGGGCCTGCAGTAAGGGGGTGGGACTGGCGGGTAGGGAGACCAGACCTTCAGGCTTTCTCAAGAGGCCTCTCTCCCGATTCCCAGAGCTGCCACAGGTGACAGAGTGTGTGTTTCCCCTCTTTCAGTCCTCTCATTTGGTGCTGTTTGTCCCTTAAAGGCTCAGAGTGCTGAGAGTTGCCCAAAGCCCACAGCTAGGGTGTGGAGGCACCTTTCTGTGCCCCACACCACAGGGAGCAGACAGCCTGTCCTACACACAGGCAGGCAGCCCCACCACAGGGAGGGGACACAGCTTGGGGCTGACCCTCACCCATCTCCTCTCCAGGTGGCCTGTGATCTAAAGTCTCACCTGGATGTTGGGGTTTGGGGCGCTCAAGTCTGTGTCAGCCAATTCTGGCAGCTTCTGCAGCTCCAGCAGCAAAGGCGTGTCCTCCAGGGCCCCAGGAGGGGTGGCCTTGCCTGGGGCTAGAGCTGCTGGCTCTGAAAGAATCTGGTGCTTGTGCCTGGACTTCGAGGTTTGCAGGTGGGTTCCAGGGATCAGCAGCAGTGCCAACTCTTCCCTAGCGAGGGAGGCAGGGGTCTGGGGAGAAAGGGAAAGCTGGTGACTGAGGCATGGACCAGGACGAGGCTGGTCAGGAGGACGTGGGAGCTGAGTGTGACAGTGCCACACTCATACCTGTGAGTTAGCCCTGCTGGTAGTGTGAATGCAGATCATGAATCTAAACACTGCCTGCATTAACAGCTCCAGCAGAGAAGCGAGGTGCAGCTGGGCATCCCATGGCTATGTGCAGAGCGCTGGCCGCTGATGCCCACACAGAGCAGGAGAGGGGAATCGGCACAATTCAGCTTCCTTGCGCCATGATGAAGAACCCAGAGGGGAAGGGTGGGGCCCAGGCCCGCTGTCCATGGGCGCCTGGAAGGTTCATCTCCAGCCCTCCTTGCCCTCTCTGCAGACTGCTGCCCGGTTGGTCTGAGTGCAGGGTGCCCAGAGGCCAGAGAAGTCCCAGCCCTGCTGCACTCCTGCTCTGGAGAGCCTTCTGCTCTGGGCAGCAGCCATCAGGGAACTCCAGGAAGTACAACAGCACAGGGGAATGTCCTGTCTAGGGTGGAGCTCCCTGAGGCCAGGATCCAAATGCAGGGGTTCCCTTGGAAGATGACCCCAGGAGATCCCAGCAGGTACTGGCAGTGTCCATCAGGCTTGTGGCCTGATGAGGCTCTCTCCCTCCCACCAGGTGCCTCTGGGCGCCGCTGTGGCACTACCCCTGCTAGCCTGCCTGAGGGGAAGGAGCCAGTACTCACGTACCAACTCTGCCAGTCACTGCTGGAAGGCTGCTGGGTGGGAGAAGACCTGCTCTCTGGTGCTGCAGGCTGGCTGTGGCATAGCAGGTGACAGCCAGGGAAGGCTCTCAGGCAACTGAATACTGGCCACTGGCCACAGGCTTGCGGGTGAAAGGTGTGGGCAGATATGGAGAGCCCTGACCTCTTCCCATCCTCTGAGCCTGCGTGGGGCTCCCTACCTCCCGCCTGCCACTCTTGCCAACTAGAGTAGATTTTCTGCGCAGGCAAGAATTTTGGTCTCGGGGGCCAGGGAGATGGCTCAGTGGAATAAGTGCTTCCCTGGCAAGCGCAAGGCCCTGAGTTCAATCTCTGGTTCCGAAAAAAAAAGAATTTTGGTCTGCTTTGTTCAGGACCCCCAGTGCTTAGCACAGTACCTGGTGGCATAATGTAGAAGCACAATCAGTAGTCACTTCTGGGTAAACAGAGAGGGTGAAGGACTCAGGTAAGGTCACAGCAACAGAGCTAGGATTCAAACTCAGGTCTGCCTGCTCTCTTCACACCCCCAGCTCATGTACTTAGCGGCTGTGTGACCTCGGGTGTGTTCCTGCCTGCTTTCCCTCAGAACCAGAGAATCAGTGGGGCATCTTTGAGGGCTGCTGAGTTAGACCGGAGCCTTGTGCATGACCACTCCCTAGAGGTTGCAACAGGTGGTTCTCAGAGTGGAGACAGACAGGAGCAGGCCCTGCATTAGTCCTTTGCACTTAATGCTGGCCTGATGCAGAAACTCCAGGCAGGTGGATTCTCATACACATGCTCTGGGCTGGTTAAGAGGGCCTATCCAAGTCCACAGGACCACCTCCCCCTCCTGCTGTGCTCCGTGTACAAATACCCAACTCCATTCTCTTAGGAGGTGTGTCACTGCAAAGACAGTTGCCAGTCTGTCTCTCACACATGCATGCTCTCCTGCCCTCCCAGGCATGGCCAGGCAGCCCTGACCCTCCTGTTTCAGGAGCACAGCAGTGTTCTGATCCCCAGGAGAGTCTCACTATGTGATGGGTGGGCGTTGCTAACTTGTGTCAGCCTCTCCAGGTGTCTGGGTTCCCTACCCTAGGCCTCAGGGGTCAGGAACTCCTTCCCAGGAACAGCATCCAGCTGCCAGGTGCAGCCCAGCTCCTCCCCTCCCCTCCCTGTGGCTTCAGGGGCTGAGACCCAGGCTGAGACCTAGGCAGGTTCACCAGGCTGCACATTCAGTTTTTCTGACCTTTCAGGAAGGGCGAACGCTGTCTACCAAGCAGGTGGCCCTTCAGCCATGCCTGGGACAAGGGACAAGGGCAGGGGTGGGACTGGATCTCCCCTGTCAGCATCAGCTCCTGAGGGATGGCACATCCTGTTCTAACCCCTGTACCCTGGCACCAGCAGACACTTAAAAGCGCCTCGTCCTGACAACAGCAGCGCACACTGTTCCCAGCATGGGGAGGGTTCTGGGGTGCGTCTGCGAGACTGTTCACTCTGGGATCAATACTCAGGGCCCTGTTCCCACTCACAAGCCCACAACAAACAGACAAGGTGAGGAAAGCACCCAGGACAAGTCGGCCACACCTGCTTTGTGGACCTGCTGGGACTGGCCCCTCGTCCCTGGGATCTCTGGGGGTGGTTTGCTTGTCTGTTTTTGTTTTTTTTTCTTTTGAGAAGGAGGTCTCACTATGTAGTTCACACTGGTCTTGAACTCACTATGCAGCCCAGGACCCTCCTGCTTCAGCCATGCCTGGTTCCCTGCCTGTTTTTCTTTTTCTTTCTTAATTTGCTTCTAGGTGTTTCTGTGGGCTCTGTGGACCTGAGGATGTAACTTTGGCTTTTTTTTTTTTTTTTTTTTGCGGAACCAGGGATTGAACTCAGGCCCTTGTGCTTGCCAGGGAAGCGCTTATTCCACTGAGCCATCTCCCTGGCCCTGTAACTTTGGCTTCAAAAGAGCTCATCTGCTAGGTGAATGTCACTGGGGGAAGATTTGGTGAACATACAAAAAATACAGTACAAATTGGTAAGTGCTGGGCTGGAGAGATAGCTCAGGAGAAGGGTCCTGAGTTCAATTTCTGTTTACACACACACACACACACACACACACACACACACACACACACAGTTAAAAATAAAACAAATTCAGAAACAATGCCAGTTTAGCTGACAGTACTGGCTCTGTTATCCCACCTGGGAAGTGGGACTACCCAGAGACCTTTAAATTTGTCTGTAGCAGTGGTTCCCAGCAGTGGGCAGGAGAGATGTGTGTTCCTCGGGAAACATTCAGCAACACACGGCCTGTGGTCAAGGCCATAGAAACACCCTACAATGCACAGGACAGCAGCCCAGAAGACAGCAGCACCCTGGTTGAGCCACCCTGGCCAAATAGGTACATTCTCAACAGGGCCAAAGTTGGATATGGCAATGGTGTGTGATACCCTGAAAGGCCAGAGCACACAAATTTTCACAGCAGGTGGGGGTGCTTCACTGGAAAAACAAATCAGAAGTCTCCCTCATGGGGCAGAAACACTATCTGACCTGAGCGCTTCAGGAGCCCAGACACCAAGAGCAAGGGCTCTCTGGCATTCACCATCTCCTGTGTCCACAAGCTGTCCAGGCTCTGCAGTGTTCTGGGCTCAGATACAGGATGAGCAGGTCTTATCTCCTCCTACCACAGCTCAGGGAAGAGAAGGAGCCAGGCTACTTTCTACACACGTGTCCCGGGTATGAACGTCCACCCAAGTCCAAGGGACATCAGGCTGGACAAAACATGGTTTCTAACCACGGCCAGTGTCACCTTCTCGCCTCATTCCTCTCTCACTGTCCTACAGCTCCAAAGCCACCCACAGGCCAGAGAAAAGTGCATACTGGGTATTAGGGACCACACAACCATGTAGAAGTCCCTGGCTGTAGAGGACCTTTGTCCAGCTAGTTGGAGAAGCCCACTTGCTACATCCACTTGCCAAAGTTCACACTCAAAGGGGCTCAAATCCGTGGCCGAGTCGAATTAGGCACAGGAGTGGCACCCGACCCTTTGAATCTTAGTCCCCCCAACCCCCTCAAGCACCAGCGAGAGATCTCGGTGCAGGGCACAGGGTGGAGAGTGGAAGCCTGGCAGCGCGGGTGTCGGGCCACCTCATTTCGTTGCTTAAATGGACTTTGTCCCAGGCTGGTCCGCTTCAGCCAGGACTCAGGTGTGGAGGCCCTGGGGGCACGACGCACCTGGCTGTCGCCCATGCCGGCGGGCGTCCGCTCGCCTCTGTCGCTCTTCCCGGGTGGGGACTGTCGGTGCCACGACCCCCTCACCGCGCAGCTGGAGCCCTAGGACCCCGCGTACCCCGCTCACCTCCGTCAGCCCCGCATGGCTCCTGCGCCGGGGTCCAGGGCCCGGCGGCTTCCGCAGGGGGAGCCCCGGGCCGGCCGCCAGCAGCGCAGCCAACAGCACGGCGCGGAGCAGGAGTGCGGCGCGGCCCGGAACAGGACGCATCGTGTCGCTCCCGCCGCAGCTCGCGGCGCCCAGGGCGGGCCGGGCGCGCCCTGCCTCGCTCCCTGCAGGGCAGAAGAGCGGCACCGGGACCTCGCGTGGCGCGCGCGCCAGGAGGAGGGTGCCTCGCACGTTCTCTCCGCGGCCCTGCTTGCGTGTCTCGCGCTCTCTGGAGGGGCCCCTCGGCGTCCCCAGCTCTGCCCGGCCCAGCAGTCGGCCCCTTTGATCTGGCTGCCTCCCTGTGCTCAGTTCCGAGAGCGGTCGCCTCGCGGCCCGAGCGAATTCCAGTCCCGGGAAGTTACCGCCCGCTGCCATCCAGCACCGCGCGCCCGGCGACCCCTGCTGGGCGGGGAGGATCCGGCGCCACCTCCTACTCCCGACGACGCCCAGACCTGAGAGGGCCGGACTGGCCTCGAGGGGCGAGTGGCAGGAGGAAGGAAGCCGGGGGTGACACCGGCAGGGCTCGGTGCTGGAGGCGAGACCCACGCCTGCTGCTCCTGCACCCCTGAGCTCTACAAGCCAGGAACGAGGCGGGGAGAACCTGTTGGGGTGCTCCGAGCAGGCCGCCCGGGCAGCACATCAATGACCTACCTTCCTCTGAGGAAAACCTGAGTTGTGGCGGAGAGCAAGAATGAGCAGCGAGGATGGGGCGCACAGGGAGAGGCCCACCCAGCCCAGGACGCTTCAGGGGCTCAGGCTTCAGGCTCGCTGGAGGTAGAGGAGAGGACGGCCAGAAGCCCGGTCACGAAGGAAGGCAGAGCTGCGGGCTCTGGTGGAGTCAGAGTGAAGGTCTGAGGTGACCTTTCGTTTTCTGCAGCCTTTCCTGTCCTCAAGAGCCACCACAGTTGCTGAGCGTGGCGGCACAAGGAGGCTGAGGCAGGAAAATCAGTGAGAGTTCGAGGCCAGGGTGGGCTAGGAAGTGAGCTCAAGGCCAGCCTGAACTGCACAGCTAGACTCTGTCTCAAGAACACACACACAAGGGCCCGGGGAGACAGCTCAGTAGATTAAGTGCTTGCCTGGCAAGCGCAGGGTCCTGAGTTCAATCTCTGGTAGCGCAAAAAAACCAACTCTCCTGGCACCACACACCTTTCATTTCAGCACTGAGAGACCCCAGAAGGGAAGATTGTGTGTGAGTTCGAGGCTAGCCTGAACTACAGAGCAAGCCCCTGTTGCAAGAAAACTCCTGCACAATTGAGGACCCTCCCCGCAGTGCTTTGGATGGTGAGGTTGTCCAGTAGGGTCTGAGTCCCACTTCTGCCATTTGCTAAGTGTGTGACACCATTGGACAAATTATTGCATCTCTGGGTTTCTGTCATCTCTTATGCTGTGGGGAAGGGCAGTGGTATCTCTCTCACAGGGTGTGGGGGGATAAGAACCCACGCTGAGAGCCACGGGAGCACGCACTCTGGGAAGCTGCCATGTTTTGATCAGAAGGGTGGAGCACT